ACATGGAATTATATGAGCTCAAAATACAAATGTCTATAATAGACTGACAGGCAATTCAGGTTTGTTTGTTTTTTTCTTCTTCATATTTGGCATTATCACATTGATTTACCTCTTACTAATGAAGACACGTGTTTACTTTCAATATGCCTTTTAATATTCAGTTCTGGAAAACTCTTGAAGCCTTCTCATACATGTTGTGGCTTTCCTTTGGAGATATTGAAACGATTTTGAGCAGATGGTAGTCTGGAAATTGCTCTATGAAAATAAGAGTGAAAAACTTACATTAAAGAAAATTAAGGAATCTATTTTCTTTTTCTACAATTATATTTTAGATAGACTTATATCTAGGAGTCATTTTTAGACTTACGTCCTGGGAAGTAAACGCACATAAACTAGCACAAGCTCGTTTTTTAAAAGACATAGACATGTTTTGTTTGAAGGCAATGCTGAAAAAAATGAATCTTATTCTACCTTTTTTTCAAAGTCAGTATTCTGAAGTGCTGAGATTGCAGCACAGGGCTGTGCTCCTATGCGTCCTTCTTTGAAAGCCAGTACAATCAATAATGGGAAACTCATTATGGCTTGTGCTTTGTGTTTTTTCTTTGTTTAAATGGGAACATGAGATTTGGGGCAATTATGAATTCTTATGCAATACAATAAGTATCTAAAAGTAATCTAGAAGACATGAAATTTTCTAAGGATTTAGAAGGTGTTTTTTTGTCTAAAATATTAATAAACTGTCCTGTGCAAAAGAGAAATTAGTCTGGTTTAGTCAGATTTTATGAGACTCAGTTGTTTAACCAAAGCACTGTTAGCTCTCAAGGGTGTTTGTATCAGTAGGGACTTTGAAAATCTTCAAGGTCAGAAAGTAAACGAAACTCTCTAAGTGTTGGCATAGAAAATGTAGAAAACTGCCCAGGAGTTTTCATCTGTTGAGGACCAAAGATCCTCTCTAGCCAAACGGTTATACCCCTGTTTCCCAAAGACCACTTACATGTCTTTAACTTGTCCTTTGCTTCAATGTTTCTCTTTGAGTGGTACGTCTACTTACATCTTTTCTATTTTCTGCATTTCTACCTGTTGCTATCCATCAAGGTCCAAATCAAACACCACCTATTCTGTTAGATTTCCTAGCAATTGCTACCGATATACAGCCCATAATATCTACTGGTTCTTATGGTAACTATTTGCAAAAGAGAGATCCATATCTTAGGTCTTACATGTTACCTGGCATAATGCCTCATTATGCCACTAATTATACTTTAGACTTTAAAATTAAGAGTCAGGTTAGAATTTGAAAAAAATTTTCTCTCTTTTTCTACCCTACCCAAGCTATAAAGACTAGAAAAATTAAACATATACTCTCTTTTAAGATCTAAGTTATTTAAAAAGTATTATTTACCCAAGTCCAAAAATAAACAAGACAAAACAATTATGTAACATAGTAAATGAGTTTTTCTTTTAAAATGTGAGATTGGAAGTGGCAAAAAATAAATTGCAAGAAATTTGATCTGTTTTATATCTAAACTGTTATTACAATAGAAGTTTTTATACTCAATGAAATTTAGGTAAGTGATCCATCAATTAATTAATAAAGTCAATTAAAGCAGAAAGACAATAAAGAAGTATGTCCCATACTATCAAATCAACTTCAACTCAGAGACTATGATTTAACCTCATCATTAATCATTCACGTGTCACTCCCCAGTGTTTTAAAAATAAGGCTCTTCTTTGACTCTGGGTCCGATGTAGGACTTCTCTTTCTAGCATAGTTCACCACAATGCTTTAGCCATACCTCATAGTGTGGGCTCTGTACATAGTAGCAGGAATGTAAAACATTTTGAAATAATATAAGTATAGAACTTTTCTAGGTTTTTCATGTTTATTGGTTAATAATTTCCTCAACTCAACTTTTCTCAAAATGGGCGTTGCCACCCCCAGGAGATGCTAGAAAGATCCAAGGGGGGCTGCAAAAGCAGATGCTTGATCCAAATGAAGTCTTTCCACTGGACCGATAGGTGACAGCACGGACCGATAGGTGATGTTGTCAAAGATTTCATTGCTTGGACCCACACCGACGCTCACGGAAGCCGCCGCGGCCGGGAGATCAAGCACACACTGCACGGGGTGAGTCTGTTGCCCAGCCCCTCGTTAGACTGTGGAAAAGCAAGGCTGTTCCGCTGAAGACTGAGGAACAGCTGACCCCGGCCATGGTAGTCTCTGTTGCCTCGTGTGCACATGAGCGTTGGACGCGGAGTAAGGAAGATCGAAGAAAGCCCCGGGCATCTGACCTATGATGTCAGCGAAGAGTATGAAATGCACCATGGATTGCCAAAAGGACAAACAAAACCATCTGGGAGGAAATCCAATCAGAATGCTCCTTAGGGGCAAGGCTAGGGGGACTTCATCTCAGGTACTCTGCCCGTGTGATCAGAGAAGACCAGTCTCTGGAGAAGGCCATCAGGCTCGGTCAATTGGAATGGCAGGGAGAAAAGTGGAAGGCCCTCAACGAGATGGAGTAACACAGTGGTTGTAACAATGGGCTCAAGCAGAACAGTTGTGTGGATGGTGCGGGACCACCTGCTTAGTTCTGTGGGACAAAGGGTCGCTGTGGGACAGAGTGACCCAGCAGCATCTAATGGCACACTTTACCCTGGACGATGTGCCACAGTAAAAGGGTTTCATTTCCAGGAACACACTGTGTTGTTGTTGTTTTTCCCCTGAAAAGAGTATGATAAGCCAAATAAGCTTGGGAATGCCTACATTAACAATAGTTTATTTTGGTGACTCACTTCTCTGGAGTCTTTCTGATGTATTCACATAGATTTCATACAAAGTAGTGTCTTTTCCACTGCACAGTCATGCACAATCATTTTATTTCATTATAATTATGTACATTATTATACATATGTGTGTATATATATGTATAGGTATACAATTATGTAATTATAATGATGTATTTCTATGTATTTATAATTATGTAATTATAACTATGTGCCATAAGTGCCGTGGACGTTAAAAAGGAGCGATTGCGCTGGCGGGAGAGGTCTCAGGCACATCAGAGAATAGCAGGGTAGCTGCCAGTGCAAGTATTTTGTCTAACATAAAAATAAAAAATTAAAAGAACCAAACCAAAGCCTTTGCCAGCAAGTGCATTCCAAATCCTAAAGACTCTACAGGACAGAGCAGACTCCCCCAGAGGTGTCCTGGTCTCTCAGCTTTACATAGGTAGACTGCCACCTCTTTCTCACACGCATTGGCTGCCACCAGTTAGTCGCCAATCATTTAACCACTACCCTAGGATTCCTCCATCACATCATAGGCAGTATTTCATATCTTTGCTATATATGAACAACTGTTAATCTGGAGATTAGCTACAGAGCATCTACTCTTACTGTCTTCCTGACCGTGTTTCACAAAAAAATTGACGATAAGTATTTTATTCATAATTAAATGACATTGCCTATGTGTTAATTGAAGGGCAATGGAGTTAAAGATGTAAGATAATGGGGGTAAGTAAGAATCTGTTTGAAAATAACTTTATTCACTGGTCCAACCCCTCCACCCCCGGCCCCAACTCATTGTTACAGAGTTTATTCCAAACCATAGCATTCCAAGCCCACAGGACAGCCTCTTTGGGTTTCTGAGGCTGCAAATCATTCTGGGAGCAGAAAGCCCGGTCTTTCTCCAGAGAAGCAGCTAGTGTGTTTGAACTGCTGACCTTTCATTTCAGCTAACAGCACAATGCACCGGCAGGGGTCTTTTCATTTACTGGATGTGTTGTACTAATTCATGAGTAGCCACCACAGTCTCCTATATCAAAGAAACAAAAGCATAGTCTGCCTAGCCTATTTCGAGTGTCTTTCCTTCATTTCTGGATTTTTTTGTTTTGAGGACTTCATCAGAGTGTAAAATGAGGCAAAAGAATGAGATTGAGGAGGAAATACAAAGTTTGGAAATACACTTATTTTTTTCTTTTTGCTGGCTAATTATGGACATTATCATATCCCTGTTACTTATTTATTTCAAATAAAATTTTGCGACAGGATATCTGAATTGAAGGCAGGAAGAATGAAAACCAGCTGAGAAAATTGTAGACATGAAATCGCAAAATAGGTGGATAGAAGGATTCCTATAGTACTTTTGGAATTTCCCTTCACAAGGTATCTACAGCTGGTATAGGTTTCAAATATTATTTAATCCCATATTCTCAACCCTGACTATTCATTTGTATACACAGAATTATACATAATGTATAGAAAAAAATTAATAAGCATCACTAAATTTCTTAAAATTATCTTAGTACTTTTAATTCAATAATCTTATTCAGTTTCTCAAGTTTTTATTTCTCCATTGTTTTCTTAATGACTTCATTAATTTTACAATGCAATAAAATGTTTATGAAGGAAGATCATATGTGAAATTATTTTCAGAAAATACTTTTAATACCATCCTACTTTAAAGATAAATAATGAGTTTATGGGAGTTTGGGGCATTGCATAATATTTGAAATCACGTTAGTTAGTTCCAGCACTTTCTTGTAATGTCCCTCAGAAGCCCTACTCGAGCAATGTTTGCCGGTGGAGCTTTCCAAGGTTCTGAGAGTTTGTCTTGAAATATGAAGCGGCCTGTCAGAGATTTCCATTATGTGAACGTATTAACTGCCTGGTTTCTAACGCAGGATCTTTCTTTTGCTATTGGAAGATAAGATGGAATGAAATGAAATGAAAACATGGGCAACACTATGTCTCGTTTTTTTTTTCTCTTTCTAAAACTGCAAAAATGTGTGTTGGTGGGCTTACATTTTATCTAGAACTTTGGATTACTGTGGTACATATCTAGATAACAGTGGCCACTTCTACAGTCTTCCTATGTACAATTCAGTGGCATTAATAATGGTCGCCCTGTGGTTCAATGATTAGAAAACAAGCTGATTTTAGAGTTCTAGCTCTCTATGGTTAGAGTTGCCTGTTCACATCTTGACCTCTTGCCATTCCAGAGTTTTGAAGGTGTTTCTGTCACGAACGGCCCAGCGGATTCCCTACATGACTGGTGGGCGGGTCATGAGGATGCTGGCAGTGATCCTCCTGGTAGTGTGCTGGTTTCTCATTGGCTGGACATCATCTGTGTGCCAGAATTTGGAGAAGCAGATTTCACTTATTGGCCAAGGGCGAACATCTGATCACCTCACCTTCAACATGTGCCTCCTAGACCGATGGGACTACATGACAGTGGTTGGTATGTAGTCACTTGCTGTGAGCGATTGTAGCATGCTTTGCCCATTGGCATTAAAACTTACTTATTTAAAAACCCTGCCAGACCTTTTCACAAACCCTAACAGGATTTCCCCTAATGCGGCCCCAGGAAGTCAACATTATACAATGACAATTAACAGCATGTGGAATGCAAACTTTTTTTTCCAAGAAGTTCCCATTCTTTTTCAAAGGTATGTGATTTGTTGGAAAAATATAATCAGATAAATCAGAAAAGAAAATGAAGGGAAGAAAGTTAACTTTTGGGGACAGAGTTAACTTTTTGCTTTTGAGCTTAACAATTAGTCTCTGTTCAATAAGCAATGACTTATTTCTTGATTTATCCATTTAGTTGGGGGGATAAAGGAAGCCTTGTGGTATGTTTAGGTAATTTCCGTATAGGGTATATTGCATAAGGTACCTGGTACATTATTTTATAAATAGATTGCAAAATTTCTGTGTAACCTATCTTTCCTATGATGATTTATAAAGGGAATTTATTAGTCATTTGCTGAAAGCCCAGTGTTATTCAATAACAAATATATACTAGTTGGGGTCATACAGATTATATTGCTTAAAGTGCAGAGAACATAGAAGAACCACATGAACACTTGGAGCAAAACTATAGATTATTTTTTGACACCCCAGGATTTTGAAAAATGAAGATAGGAAATACATACAAAGTTTTCTGTTGCTAGTGCTAGGTTATTTAAAGTAATCTCCAAAGATATAAAGGAGGAAGCTTCAAAATTTTATGGGAAAATAATCCTTTGTCTTTTAATTCCATTTTTCTTGGATGTTTTTGGTAGATACACAGGTATGTGTATGTGTTTGCATACAGAGAGTGATAGAGTGAAGGAAGATAGCAGTCGGTGTAAGACATGGGAAAAAATTACAAGTTATCAAGGGTCCGTGAGGGAGGGAAGGTGGGGGAGAGGGAAGATGAGCTGATACCAAGGATTTAAGTAGAAAAAAATGTTTTGAGAATGATGATGGCAATATATGTACAAATGTACTTGACACAGTGGTTATATGTAAGGATTGTGATAGGAGTTGTATGAACAACCAATAAAATAATCTTTTAATCATTAAAAATATTTTTAAGAGAATAATCCCTGTTATTTTTACTGGTAGTATCCCCCTCAGTATGGTGCAGGACAAATCTTAATCTTATCTGACAGATGTCAAAAGTAAAAACACGAGTTTAATTCCCATGCTCTACCTCACCCCAATTTGGAGATTTTCTATTGAATAGTCACAACTAACCTATAACTATACACTAATAAAATATAGATTTAGTTCTCCATTGAAACTGAGGATTATTTTTTCTGAGAAAGATATTTCAGGAATCTAAATAGGCCCAATATTTTTAATTATAAAGAAATGTTTTTATCAAAAAAATGTTATAATGATAATCTACCAAGGGATAAAATAATACACTAAGGTAGAAAGCACTTCTGATTCTGATCATAATCTGGAAAGAAAATGAAACCAATTTAAAGATATGAAATGTCCCCAGGATGTTGTTGTTAGGTGCCCTACAGCAATAGGCCTTAGCATCCCCCTCTTGATCCAGATTCTGTGCGTGCATGTTGGCTCAACCCCTTCATGGCTACAGGATCTTGTTGGTAGGTGGCCCCATTCTCATAGCAACCCCGTGTGCAATAGCATGAAACATGGGCGGGCCAATCTTGTCACCATCATTCTTATGGTTGGGGTCATTGTTGCAAACACTGTCCACCCATCTGGTCAAGGGTCTGGCTGGTTTTTGATGACCCATTATTTTCCAACGCATATGCCCTCTTCTGGGGATTGGTTTCTTCTGAGAGCATGTGTGGGGTGAACTCCCCACGCCCTGGACGCGAAGGGTCACTTGGATGGTATGTTCTCTAAGCGAGATTTGGTGGATACTTTCAGTAATCCTCGCCAGTGTCACAATTCACATGTATCCATTCTCCCTGGTCTTCGTTAGTCACTGTCCACTTTCACGTGGGAAGGTAATGGAAAATACTATGGATTGGATCTTTAGCAATTTGTAAAGGTCTTGTGCAGCAGATTTTCCAAACACAATATGCCTTTTGATCGTCTGACTGCTACTTCCATGAATATTGATTATGGAGACAAGTAAAATGAAGTCCTTGACAACACCAACCATTTGTCCAACTGTTGCTTAGTTGTGAGGATTGTTGTCTGCATTGAGTTGTAACTCATATTGCAGGCTGCACGCTTTGATCTTTATCAGTAAGGGCTTTAATTCCTCTTAGCTTTCAGCAAGTATCTCACTGAATTTAAAATGTTGTTAATGAGCCTTCCTCCAATCCTGATGTCATATTCCTCCTCATATAGTTCAGCTTCTTGTGTTTTCAGTTACAAAAGAGACCCTCATTGAATATAGTTTAAGGAGAACATTTGTTAAGCCTTAAACGGGACAAAGACAAAGATACATCATTTAGATAAGGCAGACCATCATCACATGGTCCAAGCGGAAGACTCACCAGCAGAACCGTAGTTAAAGAAGGCATGGACCAAAGGAAACCACCTCAGATTCACGAATAGTTGTAGCTCAGTGCATCGCAGTTATAGGTGGGATTACAGAAACAGGCTCAGGACCATGATTCGGATATCTACATCATGTCTTACAGAAGAGCTTACAAAATCAGTCCAGGGCCTTCCAGCTCAGGTAGTCCGTGTACGACTGATAGGGCATGACTCCTGCATCTGTACCACGGCAAGCCTCTCAGGGAGATGGCTTCTTCCTGGGCTGGATGAGACACATGGAGGGAATACACTTTCCAATGCATTGGCGTGGTGCCAAAACCAGTCTCCCCTTTGCCTCAAGTCAGGCCTTTTTTGTCACACACTGCTTCGCAGTCAGCTCAGAACCTCTAAATAGAAAGCTTGATTAATGGTATGACCTGGTGGAATAGAACTCCAAATGCACTATCCCCCTCACATCAAAAAACAAGTAAAAAAATTGAGCATCGTCTTGATTTTTTATTTCACTTGACGAGCTTTTGGGGGTAGGTGATGATGACATCTTCCATTGGCTCGATTGGTGTTTGCTTTCAGGGTCATCAGAATAGCACAGTGTCTCATAACTAGTAATGACCTTGGGGAAAACGGTCTACTCTGTCCTGTAGGATTGCTAAGAGTCAGAACCTAAAAGATGGCAGTGGACTTGGTTTTGGATTGGTATAGGTTTAAATATAATACCTATGGTTTATTGAAGGAAGAACAAAGGATTCTTCCATCTGAGAACTCCTTCTTGTTCACACCATATCGTGACACATAGGAAATACCTGTCAGTTGTAGATTCTTTATAAATATGTGCTTGAAAGAGCAAATTATAAGCTAAACTACCTCTATCTTGTGATATTAGACCAGGATTAGACTTGGGTAGAGGTTCAATGTCTGTTTGCTACCTTAATACTTAACCTAAAAATATATGTACATAAACCTATATCCCTATCATTGTATACTAATATTTACATATGTACATGCCTATGTTAATACCTCTATAAATATCTTTTGCCTCCTAGTTCTTTCCTCTATTTTCTTTACTTTCTTCCTGCCCCACTATCACGCTCCTACTTCATTCATCTCTCTGTACTTCCTCAGTTACACTTCACTTGATCGAGTCCCACTAGGCATTCTATGCCCTCCTCACCTTCAATTTTAGATCTCTTTCCCTTGGCCCTGGGTTGGTTGGCTTCCCCACTTCTTTACCTCCACCTTCTCCTCTCCCCAATTCTCCTAGAACAGTCAGTCCTGTTGTTTTCTCCTCGGGATTGTTTATCTTGCCTATCTTATATAGATAGACATGGGGGGTGGGAAAGCCTATGAATAGTTCCAGGTTTGTCTGCTGACCCTTATGAATATTTTCCAATCAGATCTGATGCAGTGCCACGCTCTGCTGCCACCACCGCCGCCACCACAGTCCAAAGTCTATTTTCAGAATTCCTTGGAGCCTTTGTTGCTTTGCTCCCCTTGCTGCTCTGTTGTTCTCCCTTCGTGTTATGCCCTCATGTGGGGGAGGGGGGTGTGGGGGGGTCAGACTGGGTACAATTTCCACACTGTCTCCAGTGCTGCCCCCCATAGTGCTGTGAGTCAGTAAGGGAATGCTGTGTCTTGTGCTGGGACCCACCCTATGGTCCTCTCTGTATATTGGCTGCTCCAAGTGTGAATGTCATCCTCAAAACTTGGTGGGCCAGGATGCTTCTCTGTCTGTCTGTCTGTCTGTCTGTCTGTCTGTCTGTCTGTCTGTCTTGGGTGGTCTGGGAAGACCTGCCACTCTCCCAGGGCTGTCTCTTCAGTATCACTCACGTCTGATTGCACCTTTAGAACATACACTCTGGCAGTACCAGTGACCAAGATGAATTAGGATAAATCAGTAAATAAATATCTCCCCTACAGAAAACAAGAATGAAAGTAAAACAGAAAAAACTGCCAGCAGACACTGAATCAAGAATCTTGAGAACTTTCATTCTATGACTGAGAGTTTGTGTCAAACTTGAGCGCACACTAAGCCAGTGTCGAAATCTTTCTTTCGTTTCCCCAAGAAGTTAGCTGACAATAATTGAATGTGAGATAATGTAAAAAAGGAAACATTTGAAAATAAGGCTTCTCCAGTCTGTAGATATTATAAATTCTACCAAGACTTCTATTTGTCTTTTAATTATCTTCCTTTTCTCTCTGAATTTTTTTCTATATCACTCCTACAGGCCAAGTTTTCATAACCATGTTTCTGTTATCTAGTAACAATTCTCTGTTCTTGCTCCACCTTTGTCATGATTGTGAAAAGTCCACCAGTGTCTCATGGTTCTGAAAGTTCCTTGAGAGCCTGACACCACTGGCTGTATGTTTTATTCATCGAGAAGAAAAGAGGAGGGGCATCTAAGCAATAATTCCACAGGTTATGATAGACAGGCCCATTTTTTATCTGAGAATTTTAAAGCTATTTGCACGCAAGCGTGAATTCCAACATTG